TGATTTCCTCCTTATTCTACAATGTTCTTTACAAAAACAGTGCCCCTCGAATCTCTTTACAAAAACAGTGCCCCTCGGCTTGGCCACAAAATCAATTTACAGACAAAGCTTTGTGTGACGCCAATTGCGTTTTTCAGCTTCCTTTTATTGTTTTTTTGCTTTGTATTGGTTGATCTCAATGTTCAGAAGTTACAATATTTGCAAAGCGTCCTTTTTAATATGAATTATTGATGGTCACAGTCTGCTAGAGGAACGTGAATGATTAAATTAACTTACCTTGCAGGAAGAGCCTTTGGGAGTAAAATAAGATTTGCCGTTACAATAAAGACATCATACAAACTGGTTTCCATTTAAAGCGCTAGTAGATGTGGCTCCTATTGAGGCTGTGTTCACATATAGCGTTTGTGGTTCCCGCACGATTTTCTGCGCGGAAGACCGTGCGGGACTAAAAAGCTAATTTTCAGATGTCGCTCCGCGGCCGTGCGGAATCTGCCGTATTATCGCGCTTGGACTGTTTCAGTGGTTGTGCAATTTCGTACCACGCGGCCCCCGCAATGGTCTGAACGATGCACATTGATGTGCATTGTATTCTCTGTTTAGAGCGGCTCCGCGTGGATCCATACAGGCGAATTCGTGCAGACAGCCACTCGTGTGAATGGATCCTTAAAATGGTTTAAGAAGCGTTTGGGTCTAAAGAAACAAACGTTTCTACATGTCAGAACCATCCAGATCAACTATTTTGTTGGTTTTTGAAGATGTGCAAACTGTTTACATACAAATTTAAAATTTTTTCTAAATTTGATAATTGAGTTTTGTCAATGCCCTATCTTACTGTAAGGTCACTGAAGGTCCTACATTACTTTTAGGACATTGGAAATCAGTGGAAGCCATACTCTGTGTGACTGTGGGGGGCCCCAACAGTTGTCTTGGCTAAGATGACATGTTCTTAGATTCGTAGAGCGATATCGGAGAGAGCCACCAAAACCGTCCTGGCCCATTGTGGCATGCACTCCGCTACACCTCTGAAGGTATGCTGTGGTATCTGGCACCAAGCCTTCAGTAGCAGGTCCCTTAAGTTCTGTAGTTTGCAAGGTGAGGCCTTGTTCTTTCAGCACATACAACAGATGCTCAATTGCATTGAGATCTGGAGAATGTGGAGGCCAAGTCAACCCCTCTAACTTGTGCTCTTCAGACCCTTTTCAGTGTGACCGGGCGCACTATCCTGCTGAAAGAGGCCATGCCATCATGGAATACCATTTCCATGAAGTGGTGTACTTGGTCAGCAACAATGTTTAGGTAGGTTGGACATGTCAAAGTAACATTCACATGAATGGCAGGACCCAAGGTTTCCCAGCAGAACATTTCCCAAAGAGTTACACTGCCTCTGCTGGCTTGCCTTCTTCCCATAGTGCCATAGTGCATCCTGGTGCCATCTCTTCCCCAAGTGGGCAATGCACAGGCACCTGGCCATTCACATGATGTAAAAGAAAACATGATTCCTCAGACCTGGCCACCTTTCATCCAACAGCACTGGAGAAGCGCAGACTTGTACGGTATGAAGCAATCTTCGGTTCTCATCGCTGCTACTGTCCCACTTCCACCAATGACTCTTCTTAGTTCTCTGAAGTCCTCTTTGTCCATTAGGTAGGCATTGATGATGTAACTTCTGCACAGGAATTTAATTTTACCTGGAATCCGGTCCATTCATGGCATCTTAGAGTGTACACTACATGGTGCATGTGCCATACCGTTTACACCCCCAAAAAAAAAATTCCCTACCCCCCCCCCTGCTTTTTTTTTTTCCCCCCACTTTACTTTCATTATAACCACCTGTGCATTGTGGTGCAAAACGCTGAAAGAATGGGGCATAGCCTGTTATATGCATTGGCACAATGAGTTGTCTTTTACACATTAGACCGTGCACATGAACATGTAAAATACTGCACTGCTCCACATGAGACTACTGTGAAGAGGGACCCGAGTTGCCTTTTTATAAGGCTATAGTTCACGTGTGTGTATGCACTGTGTATAAAGAATTTGTGACACCCTACCTTCCAATGGCGACAATTTTTATCCCTAGAGGAAATGAGGACTAATTCTCATTATACACAGGTGCAGCAGCGTGGGGCGTCAGTCTGAAGCTCTCAGACAGCACGTCATCCGGTCGTTTGTGTGTGCCAGGTCTCAGCTGGCTTTTGAACACGGCACACTGCTCTGCATCTAAAATGTCAGCATAATTCTTCAAGCTGAACTGGTTGCTTGGCTACTGCAGTGACGCAGAGCGGCTAATGAAATGTGGTTGCCGGTGACTTTTTGTATATGGCAGCTAAAGAGAAGGGAGATTCTGTTGCCTGTAGTAACTGGATATCCTTTTTATATTCTGTAGTATAGAAGTGATTGCTTGAATCTGATATAATATAGAAGTGTGTACCTGCACACAAAAAAAATATAATTCTTGAAGTGCGTCTGCATATGCCATCTAACAGTACCTGTGCGCAGAGGCTGTTGTAAACTCCCTTATTTTTTGCTCCCGCTTTCACATCAGAGCTTTATAGCAATTCCTAGGTAGCAGCTGGGAAAATCTGTAAATAGATTTTACCTTCCTACAGGGAGTGCATGACTATTTAGGAAATGAGGAATGTTGAGTGGCGTTTTGGGTATACATGGAGTGTTTTGAGGGCTGGGGAGCGTTGGGTGAAGGGTTGGGCATACAAGCGTGGAGGGCCGGGGATATAGGGAGCAATGATTTTGAGGGCTAGGGATACTGTGGTTTAAGGTCTGGGGAGGATATAGAGAAGGTTGGTGTGAGCGCTAGGGATACCGTGAGCAGTGGTTTAAGGTCTGGGGAGGATATAGAGAATGTTTGTTTTGAGAGTTGGGCATACCGTTGGCATTGGTGTATGCATACAGAGTGCATTGGTTGCAGGGTTGGGGTTAAAGGTAGCGTTGGGGTCAACCGGATGAAAAGGGGAACCTTTTTCCTGGGCTGGGCCAAAAAAATCCCCAAAGCCAGGTAGCAGGTGCTTAAAATTTACAGCTGGTGTCTACTGTTTTCTCTAGGTGCTGTTAATGGAGGTGGCTAAAACAAAGTTCAGAGACCCTTTTAAATGTGCCCTGAGCCTCCTTTTAATACATGGTCGCTAAAGTCCTCAAAAAGTTTGATACGACTTGTGTTGGATCTTAAATAATTCCATATAACCTCTTTGGTTAGAAGCAGAAGTTCTGAAACGTCTTCCTTGCACACTTCTATAGATTCCTATTATTATTTCCTTCAAAGTTGTGTAGTAGGTTTATGGACTATTTTTAGCCACGTTCCTGCCTTAGAATTACTATTGTGTGGTCATTTTATGTGCTGTGATGTTTATTGAAGGCAGTGGCGGCAAGACTTGCAGGGACGGCCGTGCAGCCATTGTGTTCTATGTGACCTAACATGGTTAATCTGTCTTGTTGTGGGGCCTCTGGGGAGGTTTTATTGGTTTCCCTGGCATCTTGCAGTGTATGTCCTTGAATTTACGTTGAAGGTGACATAAATCTTGCATGAACATGCACTTTTCCTCCCATGTCCCAGGGGAATGAAAGATTCATGGTTATTAATGGCTGACGCAGGACACGGTGTAGCTCACGTGGTTTTAATAGTTGACTGTAGTAATCCACCCAGGATCAGAGTGTGACAGCAGGGTGACATTTGTAGAACGTGACCATTTTCTGCGGCACTTGGGAGTTGTACGTAGTTGCAGTGCAGGGCTAATTTTCCGAGGCAGTCTGTAATAAGGAAGTATAGAGGCTGCAACTGCTGACCTCTTCCTAAAAATGCTGGTTGCCTGGCTTGTATGATGAATTGCTGGCTTCTGGACTTCCTGAGACACTTTCCTGAAGCAAGAATTACAGATTAGGAGCACTAACTTGCTTGTTCTGCATTAGTGTCTAAAAAGCATTTCCAGAAGGAACTCAACAGTAGCTACCTCTTGGTTGGAGAGAATGGGGGGAGAACACTGACCTTTCCGGCTGGTGGGATGTTTAAGCTTCGCTCTCGTGTTCCCGGGTGCTGGTG